AGTCTTACCTTGAATGCCAGATAATTGGAGTAGTTCGTATCAGAAAAGAGATTATGTGAAGGAAATCCTTTATTTCAGGTTTTTTGTGTGATGAATGTTTTTCAAAAGATTTCAATCGTATAATAATGGAATGGTCTAAAGCCAGTGCTTCTCAAACTTTCTATACTTGCGACCCAATTTTCAATCATAATTTTCATCGCGCAGCCTTCCATATAATAACATGTATTGAATTCAATAATAATATACTTTGACGTAAAGCTACAATACGACTTTAATTATAAACCGTACAAATTATTAGGATAAATATTAAATTTTGCATATAACTTTATGACATTCCCATAGGGCCACTGGTAATTATGGAGAGAGAAATTGTTCTTAACTTAACACTGTTAAATTAATTATGAAACACATTGTGCAGTACTGATACATTTATAAGTGTATTATATCAGTGTAAATCTGTAATTTATGAGGTCAGAATGTATTTTGTTTTGCTTCCTTACAGTAAATTATTAATTTTTTTAAAAAAAGAATATTTCGTTTTCGACTTTTTTATATACTTGGGTCCCCCTTGTAGGATTACCATGCTTCCCTAGGGGGTGCACCCCACAATTTGAGAAACACTGGTCTAAAGCACAATTTAGGAAGCTATTTTGAGTTGTGAGATAACTGCGAAATTTGTAATTTTGAAAATAACATCAGCTTTTAAAACCTGAATTCATCTTCATTGCGTTAACTTTAATTGCAAAATTAAATTTACTGACAATTTTTAAAAAAGTGTGTTAAAAAACTGTGTGTGTGTTTATTACTGTTTTTTTTGCACAGTTTTTATTATCTCTTTATTTTACTTATTATCGATCATTTGTATTTATTCCCATTATATTCCAGCTTTAGTACTTTGGAAATTCTCTATTGGCCATTAATCGTTGACTATTGAAACAATATGAATGTAATGAAGCGAATCCAAAAGAGTGCAAAATATTAAGGTGTGTTGGAATGCTAAAATCTTATTTTTTAACAATTTATGATTTTTACATTTTTGAACTGTATTGATTTTAATCTTTCTAAATTATACCTTACTTTAACCCCTAGAATAATTAGAAGCCCTAAAAACCAATTTTAAATAATCTTTGAAGCTGGGCCACGCCCATTTGAACGGCGAAAAATGTAAGAAAATACTTCGTTTTTTTGCTTAAAAGTTGAACGTCTGATACAAAACCAAAACATGTATATTTTATTGTAAATTGAGCATTTTATTTTTTATTTCCTAGTCGATTAGAAGTCTCACTGCATTAAAATCAATTTATCTCAAAATGTAAATTTTGATGTCCATTCTACTTATTCTTAGAAACTACTGTTCACAGGTATGTTAATTTTTTGATATATTTATATTGATGGCTAATATCCTCTTCAGGCAGGAGCGATTCTTTATGAGACGCGCGCGAGGGACGGGGTGAATGCGGACAAACTTGCACTTAAAGACGGGGCGGGGCGTTTTCGTCGCTAGGTCTAACTTAAGGAAAAAAAAAAACATAAATAATAAAAGTTTAGTCTTAACGTCATAATTTTTAGTATCCCTCTAGACTATTGCACAAGTTGTAATTTACATTAAAACTAGAATGTAGTAACGTTTTTTCTTTAACTTACATGGAATTATATTTTTTAAAAATATGATTTACCTTGGGAAATAAATTTCGTAAGCACTATTCAATTTCTTCCAAAATTTTCATTGACAAAACACATTAATACACTTTCAAATAAATAAAACAACTACGACAAAGGTTATTTACAAAATGAAATAGCAAAATTAAACTGAAGATTGAGTATGGAAAATCTCGAAGCATGGAGAAACACAAAGTCCTACATTGTATGATTTGCAAGCATAAAATGTTTGTTGCGTTTTTTTATTTACACACATTTTGTGACTATACACTTTGGCTCTTTTCACCCATTTTGTTCATATTAAGGTTAGGAAAATGCCTTCAGAACAGTCAAATAATAACCTAGATTCAAGGTTTTTGAAATAAGAAAAGTACACGAAATATATCCGAAAGTAACAAAAACTGTAACGGAACTGACGCTAAAACCCTAAAACACTCCACACTGTTAAGGAAAAGAAAATAAAAAAAGCATTGGGAGAGTTATTAGAAACGCGAATGTTATAAAAGAAAAGGAAATTTTACGAGCGATTTGTTGACATTTCGATTATCCCCTCTCCCACCACAGCTGATGAGCAAAGTACGAAATCCAGGAAGAATATAAACAAACTGAATGTCGGGTTACTCTAGCTATGTTCAGTTTCTATATAATGGACAAGGGTGCCATCTAGTGGTTATTAAAAAACGTTCCAGCTGAAAAGTCATATATGCATCACCAAGCTTACCAGAGAGTTTTTCTAAAATGCATATTTGCACTGCCCCTCGTGAAGGGGATATGTATTGAAATGAGCTTATTGTAAGAAACTCAAAAATTTATTTTTTTCAATTTTTTTACATGAAAAGTAGATGAAATCTCATCATGTTTTTTGATAAAATATTTTATTAATTATGAAAATATTCAAAATTACCTAAAGGCTCATTTCAGTATAATGAGTAAGGTGTGCTTTAATTGTATGAGAAATTTCAAACATGTACATATAACAGGTTTTGAGAAAAGCTACATAGTAAACATCCAATTTAACATTGTCGGTATAGAGGTTTTCTACTCGTCTTAAAGCTTACGTTGGAATCAGATTTTTTTCTCATACTTTTGAAAATACCTGTAAATATTTCTTAAAGATCATTGAGCTCGCCATAAATAAACAAAACAGACATATAAACAAAAAAAAATTCAGAAATAGAAAAATAAATAGGAATTCAGAACAATTTTCATTATTTTATTTATTTATTTTTATATACCATACATTCCGGCGTATAACACGCACTTTTAACACAAAAAAATAAAATCGAAATTTTGGGGTGCGTGTTATAAACATAGGGTATAAAAATAAAAAAAAAGATCTATTTAAAAAACTGAACTCAGAAAAAAAAATTATATCTCTTTTTTTAAAATTAAATGACATTCCTTATGAACTTAAGGGGGCTGTAGTTCTAAGAGCACACTTCTTTTTTCTAAAGCTTTGAAAAATACCTGGAATACAGCGAATACACCTAAAAATTAAAAAGTGTAGCTTGAAAGTACAAGTGCGCGTTATACGCTGGTTTTTGCACTTGGTATGCGATATACTTTATTGTATTCAAACCATTGCAGTAATGTAAAATTGAGAAGAAATAGCATATTTTTTTCAAAGAATTAACATGATGCTCAAGAATTCAAAATAGCCGAATAATATAAAAGTTTAAAAAGAGTTACCGTCACCCCACATATATATCCATACATATAAATAAAGTTTTCCGTAATGCTTCAATAAATTTATTACGTACTATCGTAACAACCCCAATGTTCAAGATAACTCGCCAAGTTGGCGAGTTTTGCATGTTTCATGCTTGCTGAATTGGCTACCATATGCATCGTTTCGTATAATCTCGCTAAAATGGTTACGACAGTACATCATTTCAAGCCCAGAAATATATCGCAACGATTGTCCGGACTGAAATCGTTCCGAGAGAAAACGGGTGTTGTCTCATACGAAGACTAATTAACAATCAACGCAACTAAATACTCAACTTACCATGAAGCAGCAAGAGCAGTAAGTTTATAAAAATTTGAGGTTTTTATGAATGAAGTATGAGTTTATTGATGAATTTTATTCAACAGGAGCATCGAGAAGGAATTTTGCGAAAAAAACAGCAATTAAATAGTACTGCGTAATACATATAAGTTACAATTTTACAATTTGAGCCAGGGCTATGAACAGTTGAATAATTTGTACAAAGGGGTTTTGTGTGCTACTAGTGTCTGTAAAAAATATTAATAAACCTATACATAATTTATTTTTATTACTTTATGACTCATTGGTCCATGAATAATGAACATCGAAAGAAGATTTAACTGTAGCAATTTAACAATAAAAGAACCCTACGCTTATTTAAAAATTATACAAATTTGCCCTTTTTTCAATAATTAACAAAATGTATTCTGAAGACTATAATAAATAAAGAAAGTTCCACACTTTAATTAAAATGAGAAAGCAATAAATCAACCTTGATGCCATAAACAAATGAAAAAATAAAAGTATAATCAACAAATAAACAAACAATAAAGACTCATATAAATTCGGAAAAAAAGAACGCAATTTAAAATTGCAAATACAAAGGACACACACATAAATTGATTCAACATTCAAGTTAAAATCGATGAAGTATTAATTAACATAACATATAAAAGTATAATGTTCAACTGTATTATTTTCATGTTCGAAGAATATCGAAATGAGAAAGTTAACTTATTTTTGGACATTTGAAGATCAATTCCATCCAAAATCAATAACGATGTTGAACTCACATAAAAACAATACCTGATCCCTGGCATTAATACAATACTTGTATTGAAGATAAAACAAATTGAATTTTCTTATGATGTAGCTTTAGTTTACTTTCATCAAGAGTACTTTTCTTTTAAAAAAGTATTTCTTGGTGGATACAATGACATATACTTTAAATTCGATCTGTAAGTGATTTATTGCCTGGATTGTTGTTCCATTAGACTTTATCCCTTCTTTTAAAAATATGTATTTGATTTTAAAGTGTTTCTAGAAAAAGGAATACAAAGCATACATAAAGTTATGTTATGTTATACATGCATTTTCATTTCCTACTTTTAGGTCACACTCTTCCTATATATATATATATATATATATATATCTTGTTCAAATTTTCAATCGTAATAAAATCCTTTTTATTCATCCACTCAAGTTCAAATACATTTTTTAAACTTATCAAAGATGACATTTGATGTTAATACAGTTTTTCAAATATTAATTCATTAACTAAATTCAATTAATAAATAAATGTTAATAAAAATAATAGTCCAATACCATATTTTAAAAGAATACCGCTCGGTGCGTCCCTGAAGCGCAATGAATAGTGCGTTGGACTTCTATTCCAACGGGCGTGGGCTCGAATACCACCGGGAATAGCCTAATTTCTGAGAATGTGATTTATTTTTACTAAACTGTTTTATCGGTATAATTAAATTTAATGAACGAATAAATAGAAACAAAAATAATAGTCCAATATCATATATAGAAAGAAAAAAGAAAAATTGTGTGTGCAAGAAAATCATTCGTATTTTGCCACTTAATATTATGATTCTGCCATATGAATATACATATATATATTAATTGTAATTATTTAATAAAATTAACTAAATAAAAATTTTTGTTGACCAAAATAAAAATTGAGTTATTTTTTTATATGTATATTACTTGTTTCTTAAGCAGATAACTGCGATTGACGAGTATATTCGTCGAATGTAAAACGTAGTGACCATTGGCTATTTAAATCGTAATTTTTGAGTAAAACAAAATGTTTTTTTCAAATTTAAAGATATTATAATATTTTTGACAGGTCAGAATAGAACAAATTTATTATAATAAAATATATATATATATATATATATATATGGACAATTGCTATATTAGCAACCACAAAACGAAAGGAACTGCGGGATATTAGTTATTATGCAAATCCACGTCTGTTCATCACGTTATAGCGTTCATAAGATAAAGGTTTTGACGCGTGTGGACACGTCAAAGTTTTACAGGAAAGATTTAATTCCCGACATCACATAGATGAATGCGTGGCCGAATTATTGGAAAGATTAACAGATTTGCCAGGAGTTCGACATCGCTCACAGCGTTGTTACACGGCTGTGGAATTTATTTAAAACTACTGGAATGTGTAGTAGATGGCACGGGGGACGGGGAGTGTTAGAAGTACGACGCCTGCAGAAGACAGATATATCGTCCTATCAGCAAAAAGGAACAGGCGCACTACGAAGTTCAGCAGATGGCAAATCATATCCCGAAAAACTGTTGCCAGACGTTTGAGGGGAGGAGGACCATACGCACGCAAAGCTGTTGTGTTGTCCCTTGACCAGACAGCGTATTTATGACCGAACAACTGGGCATGCTTACTATTTAGGTTGATTGTCATCGGATTGTAAATCTGGGCGCGAAAATGTTTCGTCCAGAAAATATCCAGGAAAAACCGATAAAGGCTGGCATTGATCAATCAACGTTTTGCGAATGGGACTATGACGGGCCAACGATACATTGATGAACTTCCTTCATGTTCGTTTTTTCCGTGGTGCTGTTTGGACGACAACGTAACAAAGATAGACAGCGAGGGTATCAAATGGCCAGCGCGTTCTCCAGATAAACATTGAAAATGTGTGGGATGCTTTGGGAGGCAAGTTGCTGGTCGAAACTATCCTCCGACAAACAAGAACAATCCGTGCAATCACAGAGGAATGGGATAAATTGCCTCAACAGCTGCTGGATAATGTTGCAAAGTATGGTACGACGTGTGGAATGTTGCATCACACTCCACGGTATATCCCGTACTGATAATGACTTTTAGATAATTGTTCCATTTCTCCGTTCCAGAACAATAAATATTCTTTATTCTAATGTTAGTGTGGCAACGTATTTTGCATAAGCCTCGCTTAATGTTAAAACATCCGCTTAGCAATTGTCCATAAGTTTATATATTTATAATTCAATATTTATGCGTTACCGTATGCATAAGTTTTTAAGTTTGACCTATGAATTTATTTATGTGCGAATAAGTTTTTAGAAGTTAGACAAAAAAGGCAGAAGTAAAAGTAGGGAAGGATTTATAATAAGGTTAATTTAGAGGTTGTCAGCTTTGAGACAAGAGAGTGACAGTGATCAGGTGATGAGCCCATTAATAGATGCTGGCCCGAAGTTTCCTAGTTATCTAATGGTATAAATGTTAATTGCTTGATGTTAGAACCATGGGCTGACATTAGAGTAAAAAGAAACCCGGAGAAGTAACACGTTGAAAATGAGGAAAGGTAGAAAAATTATGGAGTTTATACAATTATTTCACCTTCAGAACAGACGACGCGGTAAGCTGGAATTTGTTGGGAAGTTCTGTAATATCGTCGGATTTTCATTGATGAAGCTTCAAATATGGTTTAATAGTTTATTGACAAAAACAGAAAGTACTACTCACATTTAAAAAAGTTTTCACGTTTTACAGGTTTCAATTTAATAATGAATATCCTTGTTTGTTGTCGACACTTTTAGAGAAAAACAAAACAATGTGCCAGGATGGCATCCAATACATGTACCTTCCGCAACCATTTTTACAATAAAATCTTCGTGTATTTATACGGATGGGCAACCGGGAGCCATTACGGTCACATGATTTCCGGTTAAGGTAATGTACATAAAGTAAAAAAAAAAAAAAACTAAAGTACATCTCACATTTGCACTGACCGACGAACATTTATTGCTAAAAAGGGATTTTTAGATAATAGTAGAGAAAATGTATTCCAAATTTAATCATACTTTTTTTAGTTCCCTAGCGGAACCAGACAGAAAAAGGGAAACCAATTGAAGGGATTTGGTTTCAGAAAACAGCATCAATACTAGCATTTATTTCTCTTTCTATAAAAGTGATTTGATGATGGAGCTATAAAACTAGAAACAACTCTAGACAGACTCTATTCTTCGAAGATGAGTAAATTTTAAATGAGTTTATTTTCTTGTATACCTAGTATTGTGTCTTGTATGTGAGAGCACCAAACCCTTTTTATGTAGCTGTTTAATACTTCTTTATTGTTCAGAGTTTAAGAAGTTAAGAATGATTTATGAGGCGGATAGTAAAGAAAGCCAATTGTTTCTGATAATAGCTGATTTTTTAGTCTCACATCATTATGAATGTTGGATAAATGGATTTCAAAATGATGATACTGAACTTATTCTCAGCGAATTTAATTTAGACTTAAGTTGTTCCCAAAAGAAATTTAATTCAGCAGTGCGAATTTATCATGTCTTAGGAGTTAATGCATGTATTAATTTATTTCCTTAAAAACTAAGTTTGGAAGACTATTATTGTAAATAAATGCTACTTCAAATACATTTTTTTTAATAAAATCCCTGGCCATGGTCACCTAGTCATTAACGTCATGAACCTATGACTTCCATGCAGCTGGTTCGTGTCGTGTTACTACGGAAGACCCGCCATGTAGAGCGGGCTGATGCACACGTTAAAAATCTGTCAACCTCAAAGTCTTCCAGGTGGAAAGGTATGGTAGTTAGGAAAATAGGGTGCCATATTAAGTGTACTTCTCGCCACACTTGACCGAGGCGTTAATTTACGAGATTTATTAAAAATATTTGTAAAAATACATATTGAGCGGATATGCAAGTGTGAATCTATTAACTATTTTGCGCATTTTATTTTTAAAAGAAAATTTATTTGAAGCAATGAAATTGAATATTCTTTTCAAACTTTTAGTTACATTTGTTGTAGTACATCAGTACCAAAAAGAAAATGGTTCAGAAAAGTACTCAATATTTTTCAAAATCAATTCTTAACATATCTGTTATGTCTTATTTATTTATTAAAAGTGTCATTAAATTACTTCACTAATTGACGAAAAGATCTAAAAAATATGAATTTTGAGCTATTTAATTGCAAACACTCTTAAAAGAATTTATGCCGATGATGGCAGCTAATAACCTAAGTTACAAGCTCTTTTAATTCAGTGGATCCCAAACTTTTTTAACCCATGGATCCCTTTTTATAGTTAAAACTTGCCCACGGGCTCCTTTTTAAATTAAAATCTTTCCCAAGGAACCCCAAGTAAAAAAGCTACATAAATGCATAGTACAAAAATTACAAATTAAAAAAAATCATTTTATTGAAGAATTACTTATTGATTAAAACTATAACTTTTTTAAAATTAAATAACATAAATTAATGATTTGGATGAACTTGATGAAGTGTCATTAGAGTATTTATGTCCCTCTCAATGTTTATGAATAGGAATTGCAAATCCCCATAAGAACTAGCTTCTAATCGATTTTTTTCGTGATGAGGTTTCGTACGGTACTGAATGCACGTTCTACCATTTTGTAAAAGGGAAAGTAGTCAACAACATTTTTACAATAACTCATAATGCAGGAAATAAAATTAAGATCTGTTTTTGTTACCAAAATTTGTGGTATTCTTGTTCAAACATTGGCTTAAGTTCCTCATTTACAGATATCTCAATACGATGTTCCTGTATTAGTATGGAATCATCTGTAATTGGCATATGACAGTCCACGCGCAAAAGGGTTCAACACCTTATAGGGCAGCAGTCGCCAAACTGTTTGACCTCACAGACCAGTAAATCACTAGGGGCGCGCCCCCTGGGGGCGCGATGACCCTACAAGGGGGCGCGAGCGTATCGAAAATTTAAAGATTTTTTTAAAAAAATAACCGGAAAGAGAAATAAAACAAAATGCTTTCTTCCATAATAAAAAAAAAAACACAACAACACACTGACATAATTTATATTTATTATCTAGTTTTTTTCCGTCATCAAATAGCTATCTTTGATCCCAGAACCAAATTAAAGAAAAAACATTTTGTTTTATTTGCTGTTTTTCCTCAATGAGAGATTTTTTTATTACGTTTTAACATAAAATATTACTCGTTAAAAGAAAAACGAAACCCAGACTGAGAAAAATTCTAAGAAGATAAACAATTCACCGCTGCAATTATTATTGAAATACTGTACATTAGTTGTAGAAAAAGAAAAGGAAGTCATGATTCACTTTTCAGCCAGGCTGCATAGTACGTTCAGTTCAGTTCAGGTTTTGTTATGGAGCAACAAAGGCTATATATATGATCCCCTAAAAGAGAGATGTTTAAAATTAGTAGATGTCAAAATATTTCAGTTTCTGGATAAAAATCTGAATGTTAATTTGACCTTCAATCTTAATTATTAGTTCCCTCCCATCTTTCCTTTTCGCTTAAGGAAAAATTGAGTTTTGCGATATTTGGAAAAGAATTGATTGGTTTAACATTTCTGTAGGATAATTGAAAAGTGTCTGATTTGCGTCCTTTTATTATGGTTTGTACTTTTGAATCATTTTAGTTCAGTTTTATTGGATT